ATTAGTCTCATAAACCCGTCGGGTTATAAACCCTTTTAGTGTTCCCTAGAAAAGCAGAAACCCTTTATGGGTTTTGGAAAATTTTCTTCTAGTACTAGGGTTTAGTATTCTACGTTTTTTTTACAGTGTATCCTTCACCGTAGAATAAAAAAACATATTCAAGAAAAGGCATATTAATATATCCTTCACCGTAGAATTGAAAACCCTTTTCAAGAAAGGGCATATTAGTATACCCTTCAGCGTAGAGTAAGAAACCCTTTTCATGAAAAGGTAGAACAATAAACCCTGTGCCGTAGAATAATAAGCCCTTTTTATGAAAACGTAGAACAATAAACCCTGTATCGTAGAATAATAAACCCTTTTTATGAAAACGTAGAACAATAAACCCTGTATCGTAGAAAAATAAACCCTTTTTATGAAAAAGTAGAATAATAAACCCTGTATCGTAGAATAATAAACCCTTTTTATGAAAACGTAGAATAATAAACCCTTTTTATGAAAACGTAGAACAATAAACCCTGTATCTGTAGAATAATAAACCCTTTTCACAAAAGGTAGAACAATGAACCCTTTTTCGCTACTCATAAACCCTTTTTATTTTCAAATGCCCTTTTCCTCAGAAACCCTTTCACACAAAAACCCTGAAAGGGTTTAGCAAACCCGAATAAACCTTTTAAGGATTTAGCAAACCCGAATAAACCTTTTAAGGGTTGAGCAAACCCGAATAAACCTTTAAAAGGGTTTAGGAAGATTTTCCAAACGTACCAGGGTTTATTGTTCTACGAATTTTTTTTACAGTGTACCATAGATTTTCGAGACCGAGGAACCCGAATCTAAGCACCATTTTCATCGAAACCCTATTGGTCCGCCCGGGACCACCAGAAATCGAGTTTTCAGAAAATATCTCCCTGTGTGTAATTTCATGTGGAGAGTTCGAATTGGACCGGCGTTTTCCCCAAACCGTTATTATTCAATCAGTAAACAATTGCAATATTCATGTTTCCAAAATGAATTTCAGATTCGAGTTCACCAAATCGAGTTTCCTGGAAAAGAGAATTTTGCATAAGATTGGATTTTCGTTGATTCTTGACCAACCAATGGAATATCAAGACTAATGGTGCTCTGATTCGGGTTCCACGGTCTCGAAAATCCATGGTAGTTTTGAGAAGAGCCATGAAAAATCGTTTCATGCCCGAAAAACGGACATTCAATTTCCGGCCATTCGGAGCGCTGCGAAAAGACGAACAATTTTCGTTTAGATATTCATTTTTTCATGTCTGAGAAAAATCGAAACCGAAACTGTCAAAAGTTTTTGACGGTTTTAGTTTTGATATAGTTTTGGTTTTGAGTCAAAACCAAAACCACTGTGAAACCAAAACTTCAAAACCAAAACCATTGTCAAAACCAAAACCATATCAAAACCAAAACCAAAACCATATCAAAACCAAAAGGTTTGGTTTTGGTGCATGCCTACCCATGTCCAAACCATGATCCACATTTATTATATACATTGTCAGCAGTGCAATTACTTGTTCAATTAAATCGAACGGATTTGATTGATAAACAAAGTTTATCTTCATATATAAAACAATTACAACAAAACGATGGAAATTTTATCGGTGATCAATGGGGAGAAATTAATACACGTTTTCATTTTTTGTTGTTGCCTGTTTGAAATTAATTGATTCATTTGATACTATTGATATCGATCGTGCAACAAATTTTATTATGAGTTGCTTAAATTTTGGATGGCGGTTTTGGTTGTATACCTGGAGAAGAATCACATGCTGAACAAATCTATTGTTGTTGTTCGGGATTTTTATCTTGAGGATGTGGGCGTGGGTGTGATTGAAGTTGTGAATCTTCATGAATACAAAATCGTTTACACCCAGAGCCACAGCCACACCCGCACCTAATCTCAACACCTAGACCGAGATGCATCTCATCCCTCCCCTATTCCACACACACGCAAACCAGTGTGTGTATCTTCGCTGTGAGATGTTTTTACTTATGAATTTCAATCTTTTTTTAACACTAAAATGATTAGCGAAACGAGTTGTATTAAACTAGAAGAAATCGTGAAAATTTTTGATACTCTTTTTCGTTTGGTCGAGTTCTGTTGGAACAGCTCAACCATCACTTCTAATATGAATGCAAAACTATTAGTTTATTACTTTAATTCTAATACAAAAAGTATTGGCATTTTCGCAATACTAATGCTAAGTCAGCACTCCTACCCACATATGGACACCCACACCTGCACTCACCCTCAAGTTCGACTTTATTGTCCTGTTCGCAAGTAGCTTGAAACTGATATACTTATTTCACACTCAATCTTACGTAATTAAAACCATCAAGTCTGATTCTACGACTCAGTGATTTGTCATTTCCTTCCAGAGTCGATGAGCCATTCTGAGCTCATCTGTTGGCGCGTCAAAATCTTGAAGATCATTGAGGCGTATGTGTCTAAATATTTCTTTGTTGTGTTTCCAACTTGTGACATTAAAGTCGTGTGTAATATGCTCATTCATGGTGTCACCAACATTTTCCACATACTCAGGAAAAGGAACCCTCATATTTGTATGTTGAAACGAGAGCGCGTAGCGATAATCAGCGATGAATCCAATATGGATCCATTGCCATTCACTCTCATTTTTACTTTGTTTTACATCGATTTGTTCAACGTACGGATAGCGATGTATGTAACGATAAGCAGGCATCACTAAACTGCCCTTTCCTTTAACGGGTGAATATGAAATGTATTGAGTGTGCTGATTCAGCAAGGACGTGAAAGGGTAACGTAGGTTTGAATCAGTTCGTATCATGATTAATGAACGAAAATATAATGCCATCACATCACTTGAACGTTCAATGTCAGACAACATTTCTCGAAGATTTGGATGTACCATAAACTCATCAGTAGTCAGAACAATCTTCCATGCTTTCGTGTATATTTTTTCGTAATATCTCATTTCTTCGTTGATCACTTTGTGAGGAGAATCTTTACTACGAGGTGAAATTATTTTCCAAGTGCTTGGAGCTTCGTTCGTAACGATCTGTGAAGACCTGTTAGTAATATCGTAATCAATCAAAATAGCAATATCAAATATGGGTGCGTGGTGGCGAATCCAAGAAGACAATAGTGGTGTGTCATTGAAAAGGTTCGAAAAGAGTAACACAGATCTACGTCTATAAGGAAATGGAGACGGCCAAGGCATTAGTCTATATGCATTTTGTGTAAGTATTGTAGTAGAGTTTGAATTAATTTGAATTAGCTGTTGTTGAGGAAAAGGGCGTATTGCAAAGACATTTTTGATTCCTGTCTCGAGAGTTGTTATACGAATCTTGTGCAAAATCTCCTCCCAGAAATTCCAAGCGAACACAACTATTGTTAATGGTGTCATTAAACTATGTTTACTTAATTCAGAAATTGGGCGCACTGGTATATAAGTACCAGGGCAATATTTATCTTGCTTTAAAGGAGCTTCATCAACTATATACGAAAACTGCCATGTTTGGTTTGGTATTTTCAAGAGAGAATGCAGAAGAACCATACCTTTAGCTGCTGCCCCATATCCAATTATCACATGACCTTGAGCATGAAGATGCGTTAATTGGCGAGAAATCCATTCACGCATGGAATCAGCTTGTGCTTGGTACTTGGTATAGAACCAAGCATCAGTCAGCCCAATGCGACGCTCTTTCTTTAGGGCCAACAGAAGTGAAGACGGAATTTTCCTTTGAAAAGAAGTAATAAAAGAAGTACTTGGTAATCTCATTCGTTTGAATGTGACCAAACATGAGCGTCCATGAATAGGTGTGATCTCAAAATGGACAATATATAGCCCTGCGAGAGCAGCAATTTTATTAAAGGAGTGTGCTGTAAAGAAAGATATGTGTTCATGATAAACCGTATCAAATTGCCCAGTTTCGTACATTTCACATTGAGACGTTTGAATATATAATCTTGTTCTTGAACCCATAACCGCAGCACAAGCACGCAGAAATTGTACAGGATTGCTGACATGAGCAAGCACATTTTGTGCAACTATAGCATTCAATGATTCTGGTGGTGGTAGAAAAGAAAACCTATCAGTGCCCCAAAACCCAATATAAACCGTATGGCCTTTTGCTCGAGCCAGTTCAGCAAGATTCTCAGCTGGATCTACGCCTATAGTAATCCATCCACGTTTGAGGAATTCAGTCAATTGACTACCATCATTGCTTGCTATTTCTAGCACAGTTCCATTCTTTTTTTCACTTTCCTTGATAACTTTCTCAGCTAACCACTCAAAATAGTCTTTCATGCTTTTGCTTGTACCACTCTGATATAGATAATGGCTGAAAAGGTAGGCCCGATCAACAATATATGACAGCTGTGTGTGATGGCATTTGAGACAACGTACTAAACGTAATGGAAATTGTTTACATTTCATCGCTTGATCCGCTTGTTCTCTAAAATCATTGGCAAGAGGCTGTTTGTGTAAATCTAGAACCAAATGCATTTGATGCGAGCCGCATACTACACATGGAGTGGAGCCTTTATCTAAACGAGATTGTCGACCAAGACATAATCTGGGAACATCATTAATCAGTTCAGATATGATCTTATCTTGACTTCCGTTGAAAACAAATTGATAGTTAGTGCGAAATTTTTTGGTATTCAAGGAAAATCCGTCGCTGAAATTAGTGAGGGAGTCATTTGAAACAAAAATATGAGCTCCAGAACGAAGTGCAATGGCATTGGCTATATTCGAAACACTAGCTGAGAAAGATTGAAGGTGAAACAAATCGAATCGTTTAGTACTTCTATGATTCTTAATGACTACAGTTAGAGCACCCAATAGATCTTCCATGCTTAGAAAACTGCGATAAGCTTCTGGATGAACGACGTGTAACCTTCCCCCAAGAAAAGCCTGACAAATGTATTGCATGTGTCCAAAGTCGATTCGTTGGCTGTCGGAGAGCCCAATGACAAGACCAAATCTCAAGCCAACAATTCGAGGTGCAGTGAGAGATTCCAAGCTAAGCTTTCGCAGAGCATTTTCTCGGCGCATAATCGACGCAACATATGGATCAAATAGGTGTGGTTGAACAGGAGACAGTTCATCCATAGGAGTTTTACCGAATCCTGCAGCTATTTCAGATGTCGAAGCAAATATCAAGAGCTGAGATTGTAACATCCGTTTAGCCAAGTCATAAATGTCCTTAACATTTTTGTACTCCGTATCATTTGGATGATCTCGACAAATGTCGCGATCAGTTAAACCTGCTAAATAAACAACAACTTGAAACTTTTGTAGATCTTCTGTTACAATATCACGACTAGCCTGCCCTGGTAATTTTTGATCATAACCAGCAACGTTCCATCGATGTATCTTCTGTAAATGATGCAATAACCGTGAACCAATATACCCAGATGATCCAATAATTGCAATATTTAGTGATGTAAATGAAAACTCGAAATGAGATGAATTGTGAGCTTCCATCATTGTTGAATCATAATCCTTTCCAGTATATGGAATGGAAAGAATATCAAGGAGTATCAAAATAACTAGTAATACAGCAATAATCAGAAAGGTTATAGATCGTTTGGCCATCCAATGCGGTTACTATTCTCTTGGAAACAGCAAACGACGATAAATCATGAAGATGATAACTAAGTCTTAAGAAGCCGACCTGAAAATAGTGGTAGCACAAGAACATCATAAAAGCTCCAGTTTCTAACGTAATCGAACCTCTTTAAGTCTTTTGAAAAAGGCTTTCAGAAAACTAATTTCACTTGATTTCAAAAGGAATTTCATAGTCAAATTTTTTTTCGGTTAGGATACAATCCCATTAGGCCTCTAAATGGGGAGGCGAACTTTTGTATTTCCGCATTTCTATATATTTTCATGTATTTCTAATTATTTCGAAGTATTTCTGTAAGACAGAAATATCTATATATCTATATATATAAATGTATATATGACAGGACTTAATTCTATTCATTTTTATTTCGAATAAAAGATGTTATACGGCGTGTGTTTATCACTCGAAAGAACGAACACAAAGAAAAGAAAATGAATCTCGACTGGGAATCGAACCCAGGTAGTATCCACTCTGGTAACTAGCCAGATGCTTTAACCAACTAAGCTATCGAGACCCAATCTACATTCATATTCAATTCAATGTGAACATACATTTAATCTTTTCGAGTGATTTTACGATTAGAGACTCCTTCGTTCGGAGACTAACTCTAACCGACCTCTTCGAGCGAGGGTTTCAATTTGCCTGTCTTTTCGCCGTGAGATGTGAATCATATATATATATATATATAAATGTATATATGACAGGACTTAATTCTATTCATTTTTATTTCGAATAAAAGATGTTATACGGCGTGTGTTTATCACTCGAAAAGATTAAATAGTAGGATCTTTGCAGGATTTTCTAAATAGAATATAAGAGAAATGAACACATAGAGTATCGATCTCTAGACTTTCAGTTTACATACCGATCAGCTTACCGAGCTGGATGTGCCATGTCATTCTATATCACTTCAACGTTCAACATAGTAATTTCTGACTAATGCAAACTTCTATTTCAATTTTATATAGATAGAAATTATTTCAAAAAATTCTGAAAATACAATATCATTTTACACATTTATTTTAGTCGGTGAAATTTACTATTTTTTTAAATTTCAATTCTATTTAAAAATATACTTAGAATTTTTTATTTCAGTTATATTTAAAGATATACCTGGGGTTTTTAAAAATTTTAATTCAATTGAAAAAATACATTTGCAAATTAGTTTTTCGAACATAATCAAAACTATAAGCAATTTTCTCGAAAAATTGCTGCTGACTAAAATTAAAATTAAATATTTAACGAAAACATTTTCCGATGTGTAAATTCCAATTAACATCCTAATTTAATGATTTTCAATTTTCTTTTCCTGATAGGATTAAAAATTAACTCCTTGCTATAGTTAGAATATCAAAACAACATTTATACAAACTGCAAAGTGATTTAGAATATTTTCTTTCCAAGATTGCTAAGAATCGTTCTTTTTGTTTACAAAAAGATCCAGATCAAAATGAGGATAAAAGTACCAGTGAATTCTTTAGTTGTCAGAATTATGTTGTGTTCTGAACAAAAAAAAAACATGACATATTGAAGAATCCTTCAATTCATTTTTGTTAAGATTTTGCTCAGCATTTTTATTGAAATTCTATTATGATCTATAGATTTCCAAATCTTGAAAGGATCATGGTCTTAACCAAACTAAAAATGAGACGAAACCGTTCCACTCATTCTTGCTAGGTTCCTGATAGGAACCTGAAAATTAAATTTGAAATAGGCTATAGACACAAACCTGGAAAGATCTTAACTGGCTCTTTGTATTTTCTTATCAAGATCCTGACCATACTTGTACCTTTTTTAACCATTCGAAATACCTGATCTTGAGCAGTTTCTCTTAGGAACCTGATCGAAGTTTGTCAGGATTTCTTAGTTGAGTATTCTGAATAATCATGTTCTATTCTTGATATAATCCTAACTCTTGGCAGGATCCTTCTATCAAGATCCAGCACGGATCTTCACTTAAACATAATAAAATCTTGACGATATTCTCTTTACAATTTTTGTCAGGTTCCTGAATAGGATTACCAGTGTATCTTAGGAGGATCCTGTAAACTCAATTCAGAAAAAATCCAAACAAGAATCTAAACAAATTCTGGATGGAATCCTGAATCAAACCTGACAGGATCCTTGAGATTCATGATTATGAAGGATCCTTCAAGTCTATCCCAAAAAATGGGCATCGTTGAGTGGAATGAGCAGTAACTTGTAAAGATCTTTGCTAAATCCTTACATTTTCTTATCAAGATTCTGATTAAGCTTGATATTGTGTTGCAAGGTTTGGAAACGCATATTCTTGAAAACATCTGAACAAGATCCTGATTGAAGCTTTCCAGGATTACTCAGTTTTGCATTGTGACTGTTCTTGTTATTTTCTTGTCAAGATCCTTGAATGATGTGGCTATCAATCCTAACAGGATCCTGATACAAAGATTTGACTAGATCCTGAAGAGAACCTGATAAAATCTTGACAGAATCCTTTCTCAAAACTTGAGAGGATCCTTGATAGGTTCTTGAGTAAATCCTGATAGGATCCTGCATTATCAGTTCAGAAAAATATCTGTGCAGGAACCTGAAAAAATCCTGACTAGGATCTTGTTTCACCTTGAAAAATCCTGGAAACAAGAATTACTAGGATTCGAAACAGGATCCTGAATAAAACTTGACAAGATCCTGGAGATTCAGGATCCTGAAAGATCCTTCCAGGGTTTCTCAAGGAATAAACAGGATTGAGACTAGGGAACTATCTCATTTACTAAAAATCCATCAGCCAAATGAATAATTATGAGCAATATGCCAATATGAACAAGGATACTAAAGATCGTATGTGTAATCATAACAACATAGAACAAGCTTATGAACAAATTAAATTCTCTTCCATGGAAAACAATAACAAGAATGTTAAATCTTCGTTGAAAAGAACTGAACGCAAGATGGATGAAAATCAACCACAATCTGATAACAACTCAGCGATTGGAAGTGAAATTGATGATTCGCAATGGCAATACCAAAGAAAATCAAATAAAAGGGTGAACAAAGAACCACGAATTAATTCTTTTGTCCGAGGAAGAACAATAACATCGACATCGCATGGTTATGGTAGAACAGAAAAAAATATAACACGTCATCCGCCCCCGCAATATGAAGAAAAAAAGATCGAAAGAAAAATCGACAGTCATCAGCTGTCAAACTGTGAATGTCAACAGCAAAATGTACAATATTTAGGTGCTAAATGTGTAAACAGAACAATGAACAAACTAACCGTATTACACAGGGATAATCATCCCATTGATGGAAATGATGAAATCTATGTAACCAGACAAGCAATGAAATTTGCAGTTGAAGACAGATTTTCACCACTGAAAATTCACAGTAATCCCGGATTAAAAAATCACGAGGAGGGTGAAAGTATTGTTAAGGAATTCATCAAGCATATTGAAAGAAATTTCAAGAAACTAAGCCCATATTTTAACCAACCACTAGGTTTTGATCACTATATAGTTGATAACAAAGGATCCTTAATATGCTTTACAAAATACATTGAATTATTCATATACATCTGTGACTTAAATAACTATCCAAAGGACTTCAACAACATTATATTAAGTCCTGTTTTGCCTATAAAATTACCAGCACATAATGTGATTATGTTGAAATTTATTGATAATACAATTATATTTGATGATATAAAAACACATGTAAAAGAAAAATTGAAAAGTGTTTATACCATGGAAGAAATGATGGGCACAATGAACTATCGATCGCGTCATATACGCATCGACTTATTGTCGAAAGATGAATACAAAAGTGTACTAAATAGTGGTAAGATTGCATTAGGTGGGCACCTATACGATGTAGATGAATACTTACCATCACCGAGGATCCTCATATGTAATAAACGTAATTCACCGGGTCATTTGAAGAAGAACTGTAAATCAATCATTGAATTATGTAAAAGATGTGGGAACGACAGAAATGACGGAGCCGATCATAAGAACTGCAACATTAAGCGTCACCATTGTAGTGAAAATCATGAAGCTGCCAGCTTCAAATGCGCATGGATATCTAAATTTAGACAAGATTTATTGCTCAAATTAAAAGAAAATAAACATTTATTACCACGAAATATCCAATTTTATATTCCGCAACAATATCGCGATCACAAAGGCGAAAAGGCTTTGATGAACAACAGCGTAGAAAATTATCATCTCCAAACCCAACATTAAAATTTACTTAATAATAATAATAAAACGAATCATACGACATGGCCAAAATTGAATTCTAATCTATCATTACCATCAACAGTTAATACAACATCCATATGGAACTTTGAATTGAAACAAATGGACGACGAATTATACAATCTAAAGCAGGAACATGAAATAGAAATTAAAAAACTGAAAACAGAACATGAAACACAAAAGCAAGAAATGACTCAAAGTTGGCAACTAATCAACCTTCAATTTAAAACACAAGCTGAAGCGATAGTAGATATATACACAACGATATCGGAAATTTTACCTCCAGTGGTTCAATCATTACAAACAATAAATCAAGTAATAGAAGAAATAAATAGGAACGTTATAGATGAAAATGAACGTCAACGTAAACAAATTATATTTACCACAATCAAAGAAACAATATTCTCACTCAATAGTCGATTATGCTTGCTAACTGATCATCAACAGAAACTCAAAACACTTATGGACAAAAAAAACAATTTATTGCTGAGAGGTATGAATCCAATGAACACTCATCTAATGAACTTTAACTTTAACTTTTCTTCGCCGATTGTGAACAAGAACGTAGCTGACTCTTTTGAAAGTACTAAAACTGAAAAAGGTATGATAACAAACATGCTAGAGGAATGAAACTGCAGAGTTTCATTGTCTAGTATCTCTAAGAAATGGCATAAAGATAGACCAGATGTGACGAATGAAAATCTTTCTCTTATCATATACAATTGTCAATGTTTAAGTACTCATATTGCTGATATTGATATTCTCTTATCAATACATATACCCCAATTATTAATTTTAACTGGGGTTGGATCGAAAATCAGAAATCTACCAAAGATTACGTCTTACCATTGGATCAGTCAGGAAGGTATCAATTCTTTTGGTGAAGTGGCAATACTGCTTCATGATACACTTAAAACCAAAGTAATTACTCGTGAACTCGACTTTCTAATGGTCGAATTAGATATCCTACCGAGGTCAATTTTATTGGGAGCTGTACACGTACCTCCCAGTAAACCTATACATCAATATTTATTTGACAAATATGTAAGTAAGTCGTTTTACATATTCGGTGACTTCAACGCTAAACATACCGATTGGCTTTGCAGTAATAACAACGCAAGTGGAGTACAAATGAAGACTTGGCTCGAAAATACAGGATGTGAGATGATATACCCCAATCAACCAACATCAAAAAGATCATCCGCAGTAATCGACTTTGGAATTGCCCATAATGCCTATGGCTGGAAAGCTGATGTAATAAAAGAAGGGTCATCAGATCACTACCCTGTATTGATACAAACACCGCTCTCAACAGGAACCAACATTGTTTTAAGAAAAACCAATTGGAAAGTATTCGCTTTTTTCTTAAATGTGTTTTTCCATACTTCAACTCAATTGTGTATAACCTCGATGCTGACAGTTGTTTTGATCTCTTCTCTGCTTTTCTCTCTTCTACATGAGACAGAGTGAGTGAATACTTACCAGTTAAAAAATATTGACCACCATGGCCACCTTATCTTGTTCAACTGGCAAGAAATTTAAATAAAACAAGGCAGAAACACAGGCGATCTAAAAACCAGAATAATCTTGAAGAATATCTGCAATCGAAAAATATATATTTTAACGAAAAGAGTTTATTCATACAGAATAAAATGGAGAAAGGAATGTCACACATATCTCATGGAAATAATATCTGGAAATACGTCCACCCAACATTCCATCCTTACGCACCATCTTTTAAAGGCCTTACAACGACTGATGGTATAATAAAGAATCAACAGATGGTTGCAGATACACTCGCAGATTATTATGAAAAACATTTTCAGACAACAACTTTCGATCCCACTAATCAAATCCATATAGATGCTTCAAAAACATTCAAAGATTTTTCCCGACTACCGAATATACCACTAGAAAAAGTCTCATTAGAAGAAGTGGAAAAAATTGGAAACGTGCTCAACAAAAGAAATCAACGGATACCGAAGGTATATCAGCATTTCTATTACACCAGCTACCAACTGAATATTTACAAATAGTAACCATTGCATTTAATAAAATTGCTCAATCGGGTATCGTACTTCGGAAAAGTAAACATGCTAAAGTTATTTGTCTCTCAAAAGATGGATTATACCCAGCAGTCGATAAGCTCAGGCCGATATCACTACTTTCCAATTTCGGTAAATGTTTTGAAAGAATAATACATACCCGTATCCTTAAATGGTGCAATGATAAAGGCATTTTTACTGACGAACAATCTGGTTTTACCTCGGAAAGACGTTTACAAGCACGTATCTTGTCTTTAGTCGAAGACTTGAGATTAACAACAGCGGCTAATAACAGGCCTTCTCTCGTGATTTTCGTAGACTTTGTGTCAGCCTTCGACAAAAATGTGGCACCCTGCACTTCTTACCACACTTCTCAAACTCGACATTCCGTTACAACTACTACGGTGGATTTTTCTGTGGCTCAAAGGAAGAACAATGTCAATCCATGTTGGAGAAGCGGTTTCACGTGTTCTCAACATTTGTGTTGGCAAACCTCAAGGTTCAGTCCTTGCCGCTACTCTTTTTCGTCTACATGCCCATTTCCTCCCATCATATTTTATGAACCTAGTCTGCCACTTATTTGTGGACGATCTGGCTATAATTATCTCTAGAGCACTTGAAAAAACATTCTCAAAAAACATTATGGAGCTTGAAAGGCAAGCCGAAATAGCAATGAAAATTTTAGAAAAATTTGCTGATGATAACTTACTCCCAGTGAATGTACAGAAGACAAAAGCATTACTTGTGCATGATGTTGTTGCGCCCCCATACCCTAAGATCAAATATAAAGATGTAACAATTGATTTTGTTAAACGCTTCAAATATCTAGATGTCGAAATAACAACCAAACTTGGATGGGGTATATACATTTCAAAACGTCTTAAAATTATCAGAAAGATCTATAATGCCCTTTGTATTCTCTTCCATAAAATACCCTTATCCTTCATACATTTAAGAAGAAAATTGTTTTTTGCATATGCGCTTCCACACCTAATCTGGTTTTTCCCGTGCTGGTTTTTTGTGTACTCAAAAAAAAAGAGTACACTATAGAATCGGTCAGTGTCCGGCCGTCCGTTTATTCGATAACTCTTCACAATTACATTCGATTGAGCTGAAATTTTGTGCACAGAATTGTCTCATCAATATCTAGGTCGAGTTCGAAGATGAGAAGGATCCGTCAAGAAATGGCTGAATTATCGAAAAAATTGTCATTTTTGATCCGATCATCCCTGAGTGGGAGTACAGGGATTTTTCAAAAAAACCTTTTTTCTCAGAATTATCCACAACATATATAAATCATCTCAGTTTTTAACGCTGATTCTGAATCTGGTGTTAGTTTTGAACTAAACCGTAGCTTTCTAACGAAACATCGCCTGAAAAACGTCTTAAAATGCACAAAAACTGCGTTCAGAAATCAAATTGCCTAGTTTCTCATGATAATTTTGGTGTTCAGACATTCTAGAATGACACATATGTCCCATGCACTTTTTGCAGTACACATAACTCTCGGATGAAATCCGAAGTTTCCACATTTATTTATACCGAAAATCAACAAAAACTAATTGAACATGTATACTGTACAGGGCTACGTATAACCTATAACTTACAATGTTGGGATGATTTGACAGTGTACTCATTGTCAAGAGAATACACCATAAACGACTACTTATATAAATACTGGCTAAAATTTAACAAACACCTTGAAAACTCTGCAGAAGCACATCAATACCAACTTACATTTGTAGCATATTTAGCATCTAAGGCTCCACAGAAGAGGTGGTATCTATCAATGGGTATGCGTAAGAATAGTAAATTTTAAAAAAAATTATCTGAGAATGCCCAACATTTAAAAATAGATTTGATAACTTTTTTAAGGACTCAATCTCAGCAATATGGGTACTTTAAACACGCATCCATTCCTACTGACTCTTTTATTTATAAATACCTGTTGTAAGATACATAACGACAAATGTTGAAGAGTATCGACGTGAGTAAACACAAACTCTTCTTTTTCATTTCAACTTGTACACGTGTAATATAAGAATTTCATCAACACCATTGTAATGTTACCGTGTACTATCTCCCCTTCTCATTCGAAAGCTCTCATGTCGGAAGATGTCGCATGCTATCTATTTCATGACGATTGTAATCTTTTCATTTCACCTCTTTTTATTTTCTATTCTTATTCTTTTTTTGTTGCGATCTTGTTAACTATATCATTTTATTTTTTTCTGTACTAACTTACATTGTCAACCTTAATTTATAGGGACAGTAAAATTAAATGCAAAAAAAAACAACAACGTGAATGAGAGTTTCTCATCGAGGACACGGTTCCAATAAGATCATTGAATTGATCTGCAATAGAATTATTAAAATGACTAAATAAATTGAATTTATTGTGAAGGAAATCAGAAATCATTGAAAAAACTAAGTAAACATTCAATTCATGACAATCGAGCAATTCCACTAGTCAGTCAGCGGATAAAATCAATCTTCGATTATTTCTGAATAATGAAACAAGAAACTACAGTCAGACTTTTCTTTTCTTTCTAATATTCTGAAATTGACTTTTTATTTTCATACTCATAAAATAATTATATTCACTATGTTTCTCTCTAGTGAAACCTTTATCTACGTAAAACGACTGCGTGTAAAGTAAGAGTCAGATATGTGATTAGTTGAAATTGACTTTAAAAAAGCTGAAACTTTCCTTTAAAAACTAACAAAATTTCATTCAGACAACCTTCAACTGATAAACGTGGAATCAATTGTTCAAAATAGGAACTTTTAGAATTCATTTTTCAAAATTTCGGCGTTTCACATATGAATACCTTTTGTCAGCCCGACAATAGTTTTGTATGCTTCTTCGTTCAACGATGTTGGATCGTCAAAATTAAAACTGTTTTGTTGAAGCAACATTGATCGTATATCGGTGAGCAATACTTGTAATCCGAATGAATCAAGTGTCCAACAATCAGTTCTAGATATACAAACCTTATCGAAAGATTCAACGGTGAGCTGTTTTTTGACTACGTGTTCAGACCAACAACGCGATCCTGGAGAAACAAAAACACCACGTTTCAAAAAGATCATCGTCCGTTGGACAGATGATAGCACTTTAGCCGATATTATCTCAATACCACATATAACACAAGACCTAAACAAATAAAACAATCAATCAAACATGAAAGTAAAAAATAGCTCACTGATGACTTTTCGAGCATCTAAAAACAGGAATACTAATTATTGGTGTATGTGGATCGGTTAGAACGCTTGATTCCGCAATTCGTTCCTCATAGTTATCAATAAACATGGCCTAAATATTGTTGCTATAGAATAACAAAGAAAAATAGCGATAAATTACAATTTTATCGTCATCATTGGTGAAGAATTCATTATCACTTATATCACGTGAACAAAATCGATCAAAGTCACATTCCATCACACGCAGCCAATGAAAAAATTACAATCTGCACCGTTGACAAATATAATCTTCTGAAAAAATACGCTTCGACAAACGCACAGCAACATAGGCACGTAAAAGCCCGTCTCCGATCGTACGCATTTCGCTTTGATCAAAACTTTTTTCACACATCACACATTTTTCACGAGGCGTATTAGGCATTTCTTATCAGAAGTTACGAACCAAAAGAATAACGAACAAAAAAATCATACATTTTAAACTCGATGTAACATAGTAGCCACGGTGGATAAAAGAAAGCACGCACATGGAACAAAAGGAGGAAACTATCTTATCTAAATCTTTCCTCACATGTAAATTTGTTCACTATAAATAGAACAGCTAATGAGAGCAAAAGAACAAGATGTGAAAATATCATTTTTCTAACTTTTCTAGTAGAACTTATCAACTGAACTGTTAGCATCTACTTACAGATAACAGATGACAAGACAACATCCAATATACATAATCGAAACTCATAAAATTCATTTTTCCGATGTTATAAAACACTTATTCATTCATAATATATACATTTTGATGCAAACAAAATAGACAAAAGTAACCGACTATAAAATCGCTTTAGAATTTTTCGATCTCCCCCCCCCGT